TGAACAAGGATCGCAGTCAATCTGTGACACTGTGCGGTCTAAGATCAAATCGAGACTCTGCAAAAAGTACGACCAACTCTTGGACGCACTACGTGGTGAACATGCGAACGATGAGGCTTGTCGCCTTCAAAGCCACCGCTTTACTGACTTAACAGCTACCAATGAAGTTTCTGGGAGGGTCACTACTATCGGCAACATTCATTTATCTGCGCACGCTACCGATTTTCTCAGTCTCGGACCATCTTTTGCAATATCGCAAAGCATAAATGCATCATTCTGCCGTAAAGTCTTGGGTAATTTACACAAAGTGCGTGATTCACTGAGATTGAAGGCTAAGCTTGAAAACGCCCAGACTTTGATTGAAACAAAGAAACCAATGCTACCAACGATACCGTTTCCTCGCCTCTCTTATAAAGAACCTGAACCAGTGCTGACAGCTGATACAAAGTTCCGCATCCTTTCTACTGAGATTTTACATGTTCTGAACAAATTCAGGGGAGTCTATCAAACAAACCTGACACGTGAACAATGGCGAGGTTACAAAGAAATGCGCGAATGTTAGCTAAAGGTTCTATCCGCTTATCGATAAGCGACAAGGGCGGCGAATTCGTAGTGATGCCTAAAAGTCTAGACAGAGAGATTGCACAGTTGCATCTTTCTGATACGACAATTTACCAGCATGCTACCCAGAGAGATTTTCAAACGCAGTGCAAAAGGTTGAACGAGGTTTGGATTAGTGTCAGTAGATCAGCAGGCCTTGGTGATAATTTCGTAAAGAGAATGAAAGTGAACAATCCAAACTGTCCCGTATTCTACCACCTGTTGAAAACTCATAAAGTAGCGGCTCACGAGACCAGCTCCATGTCGCCGGAAACGTACAAGATCCGCCCCATCATAAGCTGCGTAGGCGGTCCCACCGACCGAATAGCATGATTTCTAAATAAAATCGTAAGCTAGTTGTTCCCAAAGGTCCCGTCACATTTGTCCAACACACATCAGTTCATAGAGCAGCTACGACAGTTGAAGCCTGAACCAAATAGTGTTATAGAATCGTTTGATGTAACATCTCTATACACTAACGTCCACGTTGATGTGCCCTGCAAGCGCTCTCGGAAATGTTGGACAAGTACCATTCTAACATCAATACCTTTGGTTTGAGCATAAAGTGCGTACTGGTTCTTGTCAGAGAATGCCTCAAATGTAACATATTCAAATGGTCTGGAAGTTACTACTCACAAGTCAGAGGACTCGCGATGGGCCAAAGACTTGCTCCAGTCATCGCAATATGTTATATGAGCAAGATCGAAGAACCAGTACTTGCACGCTTACCGATGATGTACTGCCGTACATCGATGATTGCTGTATCGTAACTTCAACACAATCCGAAATGGATGAGTGTTTTTGAATTCTAAACCAGCAATCACAGTGCATCCGGCTTACACATGAAACACCTCGCGGTGGATGGCTTTCCTTTCTGAATACGCAGGTGAACTTGTCTGACAACACCGTGCGCATAAAATGGTACAGAAAGGAAAGCTCAAGAAACATCATCTTACACGCTACGTCAGCCCACCCCTCAGCAGTCAAACATGCTATCATACGAAACATGTTCAAAACTGCTACCGAAATGTGCACAGGCGATGACGAGCGACGCGAGTCACGACAATTGGCAGCTAACATTGCACTCAGTAACGGCTATATGCTTGGAGCAGGAGGATTACGTAGAAAGCAGTTAGTTGTCATAATTGTGTTAGCCTTACGGAGCGCAACAAGAACAACAAGATTACTTTGTGCATACCCCTTGTTTCCGATAGAATTAGCGAAGCCATAAGACAGTGCATCTTGCACAGCTGCAAAATGAAGTTATGCTGATCGACATTCCTAGCGATAATATCAAAAGGCGGTTGGTCAACCGAGTTTACGATGTCGAATGTGTATCAAAAGATTGCATAGTATGTCCTTTCGGAAAAATTGGGGACTGTGCTAAATCGGGAACTGTCTACCAATTGGAATGCTTGAGTTGCAAATAATGTACATTGGAGAGACGGGTAGACCTTTAAGTACTAGAGTAAGCGAGCACTTGGCGAACATGAGGCGAGGAAACCTATTGTCTCCGTTAGGTAAGCATAAGTTTGAAGAGCACGGCGGCAATGATTTTAGCGTTAGATGTGTCATCCTAGCGTTTGAGACTGATATCCAAGCACGAAAAACCCTTGAAGCGGCGTGGATATACTCTCGTAATCCGAGTATGAACAACAGAAGTGAATGTCTGACGATAACGAGTGATCTACTGCCATTGATATCATTGTGTGAGCTCGATACCGCACACTATAAGTAGCAAGACACACTGGACAGAACTCAGTGATGTCCGTCACACTGATCTAGTGCGGACTACTGACTCTTTGGTGGACCGAAGGTTTGTTTGCCCTCGTTCGATGTGCCTAGTACGTTGCGTCTGAGAAAAAGTCAAGCGAAGCGGACTCAGACGAGATGTTTGGCGGCACAGTACAGCGGATGCGTAAACTACAATCCTTTTCAGACCTCCGACGAAGACGAGTTGTTCGAAACGTTAGGTCAATAAAGTTCCACCATAGCAACCTGTGCGGCATAAGAAATACTAGTACATGAACGGAAATATGACCGCTGAGAGGAAGAGAAGACGCGTCGACTATTCATTGAAACGTTTGCCTTTTTTCATTTCACGATAGGTCTTTACGATAGGTCGACAAAACTGAATGAACTTATGGAACAACTTTAAATAAGTCGTGATTACAGTTCGCAGTAATTGCCATAATTTGAGTAAACTTGGCACGTACCATAAGCTCCACGCTCGCTTATTTTAGAGTCATTAAGAGCTTGCAAATCATGGACTGCAGAACAGAAACATTGAAGACGGCAGCAATTTCCAATAATAGGGTTGATTGGAGCATGTCATGAACGCAAGAACTCGAAGAATTTTTGCCATTTGTTAGCGAAAATCTTGGTCTCCGATATGAAACTAACGTGCTTCCAAGTTTTTTTTGGCTAACGCTGGTTCATATTTACAGTTGTTTTCGGAGCTATGAAGAATGCTCTATGTTTCCAAAACATGTTGATTTGAAAACGTATTTTTCGCCTTCTAGGTTTGTCAGTATCAACAAATTTTTGTCGTCTTTAAAATTTCAAACCACAATTTACTTTGGCAATTTTGTCTTTGATCTGATTAGGTACTACACGAAAAAATGCACATTTGAGAGTCTGCAAGCAAGAAAAAAGCTTTATTCGTCAAAGCTTTGATTTGAAGTAAAGATATAACTGCATGGGGCACTTTGCAGGTGGAATTTTCTCCGAAAATAATTACACTAAATGGGAATGTCGTACGCATATTGCACTTTCTCAACGGCTCAAAACTTTACCATTCAAATGACGGACCATGTTATGTTCAAATTCTGCTTAATAATACAACTTATTTTTATAATTTGGGTGAAAGATAACGAGGATATCGAATTTTAGTCAATATTCTTGGATATATGTTTATGTCCATGAAGCAAGAGCACTACAGAGGAGGAAGATGACTTATTGTTCGGCATTTCTACATATTATAGCTTGAGAAAGACCAGGGTACGCTTGAATGAGCATCAAGAATTGTTCCTTTGAAATGCGAATAGATGCCAGACAAAACAATGCAAAGGGTAACAGCTATAGCATCAAACCGGAATTATTTGTAAACTTAATTTTTTCAACGTCTGCTGCTTGTGATGCCTGTGTTGAAAAGATCTCATAGTGCACATTATTTGTAGGTCTTCAATACCGATGGGATACTGGATTATATTATAGAGACTCAAGCGATAAGACAGTGTTTCTTTTGTTAAGTATGCTTTCGTTGTCCGTTTTTTGTAAAATTGCACAATATGCATACGGTAATCGCAAATCTTGAGTAATTGATTACAACAAGTTGGCCTTAAGATAATCCTACGTAGAAAGTTCGAGCCATTTTTACACTTGTACAGTTTTTGTAAGGCGAGCCAAGCTTCTATTAATAAAGTAACAGGCAATGATTCATTCTTGATAAGTATGCTTAATTGTTCAAATGTTTTACTCGCTCAAGCTGATTACGAGAAAGAACTATATAAACGATACAATTTTTACGTCCATCCCCTCAAAAATAGAATTGAATCATCTTCAAGACATTTCACTAAAAAGCTTAGAAAATTTTCAAATGTGCTGGTGAATAACACTTTAAAGAGTATTGAAGAGTAAGGGGTGCAGAAAAATGTGTACAGCACAAAAAAAAATAAACAGGTTTCCTACAAATACGAGACCTCGAAGACCTCGAGAGATGAATGGCTAGAATAATGTAACTTCTAAGAAATGTTGAGCGGGCAAATGAAAGCGCTCTGGCGCTTTTGGGCATTTTAACCCATTGACGACGACGCCTAATATTGCGTGGCGGCGCTGTGGGACGACGCTTTTTTGCACAATATTTTCGGCGCGGAGAAATTTTGTGATTATTTACAAAATGTAAAAATGTTTTGTAAACAACTACAGCCATCTTCTTGGACGACGAAGTCTACAGGTTCCAAAAGTGGAATAATTTGGAAAATATATTGAACTGTGGGAAAAATACTAGACCTGAAACGGACGTGACCTGCCAAGGGGTGTGCGCCACCGGTGGTCCACATCGTCCCTGACGGCAAAAAGTGTAGGGGCCACCGGTGGTCCACATCGTCGTCAATGGGTTAAAGCTTTTTGGGCGAAGATGACAGGTCCCATGTCTTTGCAGCGAGACTTGGGCAGTTGCTTATTAGCCCTGCTACTGCACAAAAGCTCACCACTCTCAATTTGGCTGAAGGCTTTCGACCTTTGATCAAATCTTCGCCCCTATGTTATGGTTGATACGCAGCTGAAATGAGAAAACGCTTCTAGTTATTCTGAATGCATGTTCTTTTCGTGGAGTGAACATTCGTTATTGATTAGAATTTTTCCGAGTGATTTGCTATGCATTTTGAATGTTTGCAAACAGATAGATATATTTATTCATATAACAACAAAATTTACCTCTCAATGACATCTAAACCACTAAAAAGTTCATCTTTACAGAGTCATGATGTAAGAGTAACAATGTCAAAGCTCCCAATTGAGAAATTACTATATTTACAATCGAGACCACTAAACTATATGACCATACGGTCTAATTGCACAATGCAGACGTAGAAAAATCACAAGTAACAATGATTAGATGAAGATATGACGAAATAGCTGGTTAAAGTGAATTTGAGTGGGCAACAGGATACTGTTTAACTATACCAGATCTTGATCGTCATCTACTTTTGTACTCATCAACGGTTTGCGGTCCTCTGTTTTCATGACAACGACCTGGAATAACACTTTATGAATGGAAAGCTGATGGAATTTAGAAATACAGCTGACATACGCGACTGACCTCGGTCCCTACCAGCTTACGGTATTAGCAAGCTAGCATTTCCCCATTTTTGCACACCATTACCCTATCTACACCACCGGACGCAAAAATAATAGCAACACGATGGAAGGGATCATATCACCAACAACTCACACATTTGCATTCGTTACTCTTCCCCTGTTTATCAGTGACGCTTATGCAAACGATCAATATATTCGTGAACTACACAACGATTTATCATAGTATATCAATGACGGATGATGTGAGATTTTCTTCGGATGGAGGGAGGAGACGAAGCAGCAAATCCTTCCAAAAAATTTCTTGGATGTTTTCTAAGCTTTCTCAGGCCTATACTCTGACTCACACAAAAAAAACATTACAAAACTGAATCCAATTTTCAAAAATTCTCAAAAGTGTTTCAATTGTTTATAAGTGAAAACAAGACAGTAAAACAACCATTTCCGATAATAACTCATGGTTCATTCAAGAAATTCCGCGAGTTTATTCTCGGGAGCGGGGGAGTTGAGGGCTGCCCCTCGGCGCGCCACCAGTTGTATATTTATTTGTGACCCGCAATTCTTCCCTTACGTGTACGACTGTGCATGACATTTGCCCTTGCGCTGCTTTTGGCTCGTCTTTTCCAGAGAATTCAATATCGGGGCTACTTGATATCAAGCCTCAAAGATTGAGCTGCATGGTACATAAAAGGAGCTCTACGCAAAAAAGCGACAGTCTTCATCGACATGCTCATTAACCTGGGTGTACTATTAGGTTGCAAAGAGTCCCCGGGCAGTTCTGGAAATATGATCTCCGTGTCATTTCTTTCCGCTCAGTCGAACAGAGAGAACTCTTTTGTGTGCTTCTGTACAAGAGAATTTGCCTCAGCGATACCTTTGATCTTGATTCTATGTCGGAACGCGCCTGATTTACAAATGCGAGAAAGACTTTTCATTTATCTGCTGCCAACTTTCCGCAGCGAACAAAAAGAGCTTCAAACCATGGACAACATGGAGAAAAGTTATTGAAAACAAAAATGCAGTTTTACATGATTTTGATAAGCGCACAAAAATAAAAGGATGCCCAACTCGCTTCTGACTGAACTCTATTTACAGCAATGGTCAATTCTATGGATATCGTTACGCCTAGATGATGGATCAAAAAAATGCAAGACATTACTCAGACAGCATCTTCGCTTCTCGAAAAGTTAGTTAATGTGTGTTAGGAAAAGACTTAAAATTCAGACAGAGGACGAATGGACACTCTCAGGCCTCGGACAGAGTTTACGCGATTTGATCGTCGCGATTCAATCGCTACAAGACAACTGTCACGAGTTCACTGCATGCCGATCAGCTTGCATTTCGGTTGTGATACTTTTCCAGCTCGAAATTTTTGAGTAAAATGAAAATGAATGAAAATCGCGGCGATTAAATCGCGACGATCAAATCGCGTGAACTCTGTCCGAGGCCTCAGGGTGCGAAAACGTACGACTTTCCAAATGTTCTGAGAGTATCTCTGCAAATGACTCTCAAAGACAGAAACTTGCCCTCAAAAGAAGATTGATAGATTTTTTACTCAATCAACGCATAGCTTTTCATCAGTGGCGGTCCGAGAAATTTTTTTCGGGGGGGGGGGGGGGGCGCGACAAAAATTTTTTTCTAAAAAAGGTGCGTGGCGTTAGCCACGCACCCCGAAAAAATTTTTGGGGTGCTTCTCAAAATTTTTGCGGGTCCTCGACCCCTAAAATCTGGAAAAAGGGGGCGTGGCGTCAGCCACGCCCCCGAAAAAATTTTTTTATAAGGCTAAAATGAATTTTTAAAAAATTTTAAAAATTATTTTAATTATTTTTAAGTGCAAGCAAGTCGTTTGCACATTTTTACAACCCATATAGGTAAGTTTCAAAAATTTCGCGACCCATTCTCGGGGGGGGGCGCGCGCCCCCCCCCCGCCCCCCCCCCCTCGGTCCGCCACTGCTTTTCATGTATATTGAGATAATCCTGCACAGACAGGCAAATTCTTAAGTACCATCTCGCTTCTATGCATGCTGATGTCCAAAGATGCGCTGAAAATCACGATAAAACCAGCATATTTCGTAATGCATGAAAACTACCCTACAATTAATAAGGATGATGCAGACCACATTGCCTTTGCAATAAAATTTGCATCTACCGAAAAAGATCAATGAAAATAGATTTGTTTGGAGGAAAGTTATGCAAGTGGCCAAGAACTTTCTTACAACCTAAGATTACCACGAGTAAGAAGAGCAAAAGGAACGTTCTTGAGGTTTGCTTAGAATCAAACTAGAAACGAAATTTTTTATTGTGAATGCCTAGACACTACCACATAATAACAATAATAATAACAATTCTTTCAAAAAAAAACAAGCACCGCTTCGGAACAACCCAAAAAGTTACCATGGCCCACTCCATCTGTCCAAAAAAATAAACTTTGTGAGTTAAAGCAATCACATCGAATAAATGAAGCGAACCAGAAAAATACTCAAAACACATGGCTTGGGTCACGTCAGCTCCCAAGAGATTCTTTAGCCTCTTCGGCGAAAAAAGTCCAAGTACTACCATTACCACATACGTAAATGCAAATCCACCAATATAGAAACAAAATAAAGGACAGAAAGAAATAACGGTGTCTTCACTACCCTCTGTGGACATGCCGATCATTCTAGTTCATAATCGAAGAGCCTGAATGTTCGAGGATCTACGAATATCAAGTCAGTGCTTCAATTCTACCAATCACTAGTACCACCCTCAGAAGATTTTTTGACCCGAAGAGAAGGAAGAACCCTCTAACGGTCATAACCACTGTCGGCAAATGTCAGTGACTCAGACCTAAACCACTCTTAACGATACATAAAGCATGCTTTGTTTATAAGATACTCAGATGCTGATAATCCCGCTCTTCTGAAGCTAAAGTATGCATAGAAAAATCCTATTCCTATGATTCCGCTCTTAATCAGATATTTTTCCGAATCAACGCTGTCAAATCCCACGCTCACCATTGGCAGCTCTCTTTTGCAATTTACAATTCGAAACAGGAAAATAATGCAGCACTCGGCATTACTTGCCACATACAAACTTATCTAATGACACATCACTGAAGAATTAAGACAGCAGAGTATTTTAGAAGTAGACCACGGCTATTGTTTTGCGTACGCTGCAAAAATATCTTAGGGAGGCCTTACAGGGGAAGGATACTTGGATGCCGTGGCCATTCATAATGATTTGTATACCAAAAAATGCCTTTTGAATGCTGGTTCGTAGACTGTCTTTCATATCTGCGAAACGATAATCTGAATGGAGTTATGATTTTTTTCATTAAAAAAAATTGCGTTCCTGCGGAGGGTCAAAATCATCAATAAAAAATTTTTTTCTCCTTTCCAAATGCTGAGTATGATCCAGATAGTCTAAATAAATATTATTACGTCTAAAATTTTCTTCAGTAGCATCAAACGGTAGGCTAGATCAAATCTGGTGATTTTTACTATACAAAAGTAGGCTAAATTTTCAAGGAAAAAAGTTCATAACTTTCTTCAAAAGATCGTTTCGCAGATTTCGAGCACAGACTCAGAATCTGCATTCGAAGGCGCATTTTTTGGTATACAAATCATTAGGAATGGCCGCGGCATCCAACTATCCTCCCCTTGTTAGACCTCGCTCGAACCTGCTAGATCCCGCCTGAGCCCGTCCGTACCCGACCAAAGCAACAGTTAAAGGCAGCTTCCAGGCAGATCTGGACCTATGGAGATCTCAGTTGCAGGGTAATCTTGAAGCTCTAACTAAAACACTGTGCCCAAGCGGCAACTCAAATGGTGAGCTTACAGTTGAGATATTCGCCTCCAAACTGGACCCTGGGATACTCGCATAGATTCATGGCGCGACAATCAGTTTCGAGCGAGGACCATGCGTGTCGCGCCACGAATCCATGCGAATACGATCCCGGGTCCAGTTTGGAGGCGAATATCTCAACTGTGAGTTCACCATTTGAGCTGCCTTTTGAGCAGTGTCTTAGTTAGAGCCCCAAAATTACTTTCTACATCAGAACCCCTTATGTACAAATTTGCCTGAACACTGCCTTTAAGAGCTACAATTGAGCTGTAACTATATACCTTTATTTCAGTGCTCTAAGCATTGTCCAGGCATGTCTTTTTGTTTTCTTCTATCGGCGGCTTCGCGCGGGTTTAGCCGGTTCACTTATTGAAGCCTTCTTATGTCTCATACTAATCTTTTTTCAAAAAGTTTACGCTCTTAGAAGATTCGAACCGTGTTTTTACTGCCTTGAATAACAAGAATTCGAGCCTTTTGCCACTTATCAGGTAACAATGCATCTATGCAACAACATACCTTCTTGTCCATCTCTTGTTTCCTCACGTAAGTATATGCAGCAGATCCAAACAAGACGATTACATTGCTGACCCACCTGAAAAGCAGTATTGAGCAAGAAGAACAAAATGTCCACGATGTACTCCAAAACGCTACAACTAATAGTTCAAGATCTTGCAGATCCATTGAGATGTTGAATTATCACAACTGTCACGACCCACATTCAACCCGAAGTGAAACAGGGGTAAAGAAGATTTCAGTGGCATGTGGCTTTCAAAAGAGCTGGCTTGTTACATTTTCAACTTTATCTACCAGGTACCTCCAGTTAGTTTTATCGTTCTAAATATGGTGAAACTAAAAGTGCTTGGGAGGACGATAAAAAGGTGCAGTTTGCACCATAGTAAAGTATAAAATACGTGTTTTCAGCTATTAGCTTTGAGTTAGGTTGCTAACTTCCTTTCGAAAAAAGCGAATTTTTCACATTTCGCACGCTCTGAGGCACAGTTCCATTCGGCGCGTGTAGATTCGTAAAAACAACGGGTAAACCAAGGAACTAAGACAAGTTCCCAAAAGATTCCCCAATGCGCAAAAACAAAACAAATACAGAAAGTTTGTGCGAACGGAATATGCATGAGCTCTTACTCGTGAATTTCGCCAAACTACTGATGAATTTCGCTGTCTCCCTAATTGAACTTGATGTAAGCTTAACGCACAATCAGCTATTCCTATCTTGCCTAGCGAATCAAAAAGTGTGTTTTTTTTGCGACCAAACCAAGGATGGCTGAATCTTAATCTAGTTTTGCGAAGATTTTATATATAACTGCAAACTCAGCTACGCTATTGCACAGCAAGGGGGTTTTTTCTAAAAAAAGTACATTAGATGTTTTACTGATTGTTTTCGAGAACCAAGTGGTGAAATACTTGCCACATGAACGTTTTGACTTCTGAAAAATATATGACTGCCATCACTGTTTGAGCTGCCGCCTTCGCAGTCCCCGATATGTTGTGAGTAAGTGCTGAAGTAGCCTGAAATCATGAAACCAAATTAGAGCAAAAAGTTAAACTTTAAAAAGCTCCATAAGGAAGATTTTGAGGCTATCAAGAAAGAATTCTCAACCTGAATTTGCCATCCAGTAACATATCCCATGGCAAAACCAAAAACTCCAGATAAGCACATCCACATCCAAAACAACAGATTGAAAAGACGTGGGAAGTATATCACTTCACCCAGTTCTCCGCTGAACTCTCAGGAATCAATAGTGTATCCACAACCGCTGCAGAGTGACTTACAAAAATAACATGAGTGGTAGGAATAAGACCATTGCATTCAGATTATTGTACATAGTCAACCGCCAAATGGAGTCACCAACGATAGGGAGTGTACTGAAACAAGATAGGTAAAACTTTTTGCTCGTGCCTTCATGTCTAAACCTAACATTATGCTGAATGTATACGTTCTGTAGCCTTCTTGCTCTCTCTTACGAGGGAAGAACATTACCCACTCGCTCCTCGCACGCTTCTACCCGCGAGCAACAACAACAACAATTAACGGACTTCCCTCCATGATTCTAAAAAGCTCCTTTCCCTATCAGAACCACTTCCTCCGACTGTGCGCCTTATTGCACGTTTAAGTACTCAACTTTACGCGATTCTTTGCAGGCAGTGGCGGTCTCACGATTTCACTTCAGAAGAGGGGGGGGGGGTCAGAAATTTTTCTAGAATAAGTGTGCGTATCGTAGGCCACGCACTCCGAAAACGTTTTGGGATGCTGCTTAAGACGGGCCAATATTCCCGAAACTCGAAAGAAAAGGAGGCATAGCAACAGCCACGTCCCAAACTTTCAGGCAAATTAGTTTTAAAAAAATTTCAAATTTATTTTGATTTTTACAAGCATAAGTCACTTGCACATTTTCATCACTCATGTAAGTAACTTTCAAAAAAAATCGCAATCCATTTTAGAGGGAAAAGCGCCCACCCCCCAATCCGCCAGTACTTGTACAGTAACACACCAACGGCCTGAAAACCTGCACACCATTGCTGAGAGACTGGAAGGCTGCGATCAGACAAGTAGCGAACGAGGAGCTACATCGTCGGAGGCAAAGTTGGAGCAGAAATCCGCGCTCATACGCGCTAAGGCTCCATCACAGTATAGCGCAATTGTGTGCCAGAAAAAAAATAGTCAAGTTGCATACGCACAACAACTATGCGACAGTTTCCACTTTTTCGTCAAGGCTGAAAATCTTTCGGATCGCACCAAAACGGTTCTCCCCAGGACAGCCCAATGGTGCCGTCCAAAATTTGCAGGTTTGATAGGGAATCTCTTCGATAGATGCAGCGCGCTACTCTTCTTATATGATTTATCAAACACAGCGTCAAAAAAGACTCAAAGACTCAAGTTTTTCAACCGAAAGAAAGGAAAAGTCACTGCAGCAACGGAAAAAAATCATCCGTTCTATGATATGACGCCATGTAACTACGAAATGAATAACCTTGGGCTTGAAAGAAATTTTGAATCTGAGAAAGTACTGCCAAAAGGGAAGAAGAAAGATCAAATGCACTCATTCACGTACCTTTGGGTATAAATGGCGTTCAGCGCAACGCACAGAGATGCTAGCACACCGTAAATGACACCCATCACAGAAAGAGTTCCTAAAAATGAATAATAAGCTCGTAAAACAACAGGAGTGCTGTATTTGGGCGAGCCCACTATTGATGTTGATTTAGTCATGGTTACATCGTAGTAGCGATCAATTTCTGACAGCTTTTCATTTCAGTTCATAGACAGAGAAAATAAGCAAGTAGCATGCAGGCTACCATGATTCCCCTTCTAATCCAGATTAAAGTAATCAGAAGGTTAACATCTTTGGTTCGTGATCACATAGCGCAGTGAAAGCAGCTCTTATTTTGTAAGACAACAATATTGCAATGCTTTTACATGGAATGAAGGATAAAAAGGTCTCTAAGGAAAACCTTAGGGAAGCTTGCAACTTAGGTAAAGTTCTGAAGAAGTTGAAAGCTGGAAAAAGAGCATCATGGCTCACTCACCGGACGCATCTTCTTGATCCACGCCAAGAAGAAATCCCGCAATGATGACGAAACAACAACCTATGGCTCTTGCGGACGTCTTTTGTCCCAAGATCAGATAAGTGCACATCTAAATTTTGAAAAAGGCATACAGATCCAGGTAATGATCGTATCCAAAATTTTGTGAGAGATACGAAAAACTGTGACTTTAAACGAACTGATGTTAATCCGCCGCATAATGGCATTCAACAAACAGATAAACGCGCTAGGGCACGCTACACGGTAGCAAACATGAAAAAAATTTTTGGCATGAACATAGTCCAAATAGAACGCGTGACACTGCATCAAAGTAAGTACTCTTGAAGTTCGGCCGACAAGACAAGCGAGAGACTCTTTAAAGGCACCGTTCACCCAGATCGAGGTTAATGAGATTTTGATGCTATAGTCGTTTTCATCCCGGATTAGGCGAAACATTCTGCGTGGAGCAACGCGTGCGCATCGCTGGAGGTTTCGCGAGCGCATAGCGCTGGCACTTTGCCAAGCAAAGACTGAGGATAATGAAGAGACGCAGACTTGGGTTTTCAGCGCGATATGACACTGTAGCTGCGAAACGGCGCCGTTGCGAGGCGGACGCCCGCCAATCCAATTTCCGCCTAAAGCGGGTCGAAACTTGCTGTATATAGTAGAGGGTCTTCTAACTAAACCATCGCCCAAATCTCGTTGCAAAGATGAATTCCGAAGCGAGAAAACCGTTTCAGAAGGTTACGCTGACTCCGCCCATCAAAGTGGGTGGTCTGAAGACAATAAGTGCAACTTGGGCTCTAATGTAAGATTTGTCGTAAACTCGCCTTTCACTATTATCAACGAATTCGCGATACCCTGATAAATTTCTGTCTCCCTTAAGTCCGATTTTCGACTTTGATCTTTAGACCACACATGTTGATGGGTGGAGTCAGCGTGAACTTCTGGAGCGGTTTTCTCGCTTCGGAACATCTTTTGCGGCGAGATTTGGGCGATGGCTTAGTGAGGAGACCCTCTATTACATAGCATCAAAATCTCATCAACCCCGATTTGGCTGGACGGTGCTTTTAAGGCTTTCCGGCTCTAACAGCCGTGGTTGCAGGCTGCAACATCCGTGGTCTGCACATCATTTTGAAATCAACGATGGAATCTTTTTCCAATTGTCTGTGATAAGGAGTGTGCTGAATACAGTGAAGAAGTAGCTTTTTATGCTTCGAATAGCGATGAGCTTTTTGCTTTGAGCTAGAGAGAAAATGCTCTATGCCAGCAAACTATTCAGGATTGTCCAAAGAGGCAAAAAAGGTTTCCGAAAAGAGTTCTGAAAACTGGGGGGTGGACAAAGCAAGAAAACGTGATGTCGCGAAGACAGTGAAGAAGCGGCGGTTCCGCTCTAATTGCAGCTGCGGCAGGCGCGTTTTTTATAGAACCTTTTTAGAAGGCTATTTGCCACAGGAAAAATCTGTACTATAATAAATTGAAAAGAAGAAGAATAAAAATGTTTCAGTATCTTACCACATTGAACACAGTTGTTAAGCACCGTCCAACATAATAGAAAGAAACACCGACGTATTTGAGGCATAAGTTATTGAAAGAGATCATGGCAACGAAGACGATAGATAGAGGTAACACCTGTAAAGGTAGTGATATACACAAATAATAGCCGAGGTGCACAACTACCTTACCTCTCTACTGAGCTTCGCATCGACACTCATCCTGGGAAAGTTGATGGTGTTTGGGAAGCTTTTTGATAAAAAGGATAGGGAGAAGCACAATATAACAGTAACAACACATTGAAACCAAGTGACAAAAAGAGGGGCATTAAGCTAAATGGTGACTTGATCTGTGAAAGAAAAATTGATGGAAGCTCACCTTAAGATCGTCGCTACTCAACAGATATTTATTGAGAAATACGAGGCCGATGGAGCAAGTCCTGAAACGGAGTTACATTCATAAATAACGAGACATGGAGTTATTGACAAGTCCTGAAAGCCTGCGCAACATCAAAAGGCATTGATACAACAGAGTGGATTTTATTGGCTGATACCATATGAACCGAAAAATGGAGCCGCAAAGCGCCTGTAAAAATGCGGCTATACTTATGCTGCATACGGCGAGCAGACGCGATCCGGTACGCTAAACCACGAGATGCACGCGATATTAGGATCAATGCAGCACAATTCTGAAGGAAATTCTGGTGTTTATAAAGGTATATAACGACGCACGCAATCTAACCAGCGGAGGGTGCATCCCGCCAAATTCGGGTCCGATCACCGGAACATGTCGTACCTCAATGAACTACTTAGTATTAGTTTTCTTTTTATTTATACTTTGTTTTATTCCCACTATTGCTAGTTGGTTTCGGCGGGGTTTGGCGGTATTTCAGCAAGATTAGATAAAGATCCACGATAAAGCAAGCGTGGCATGTAAGTGAGCGGCTATTCTCACAACCATCATGTCAGGCCTCGGGCACAGTTCACGCGATTTCATTGCCACGATTCTTCCATGCAGACAAACAGTTACGAGACCATTGCATCCCGATCAACCTGCATTTTGGTTGTGATAGTTAGTCACAACTGGTCGTGTTGGAGAACTATCACAGCCTGCAAAATTATCGGCGTGCAGTAGACTCGTAACTGTTTGTTTTGCTGGAAGAATCGTGGCGATGAAATCGCGTGAACTCTGCCCGAGGCCTCAAGGTACAAATAAAATGGGAACTAATAGTGACCAATCTTCGGAAATACGGCATGCTCGAATGAACAGTTATACTTGAATCGAAATCCCTCCGCTCGCTGAATTGCGGCTTAGAGTTCCTTGAAAGAGGAAGGAGGAAGTCGAGAAAGCTTGCTAAACACACTGCCATTTTATGGAGAAATTAGATGATCCTTGTGTTTACGATGATTGAAGACAAGAAGATTAGTCGCGTAGCAAATATATCACAACAGAAATTCAAAGTGATTTGCATACAAACTGTAATTTTGTCGGGAAAATCGAGATTCGAGAGATCAAAAACGCACAATGTATCTAGGCATGCGCGGCGCTCAAGTATTGTAATCCACCCTCCCCCCCCCCCACCCTCTTGCTTTCTGCGCATGTCTTAGCGGGCGAGATAACGCAATAGAAAACTCGAAATTTTGTGAGCGAAGTGGTGGATATGGAGAAATCCAGTTAACACGTTTCGGACCGGTGCTCTTCTTGACGTTTACAGGAGGTTTTCTTTTAGTCCAAAGTTATCAAGTCGAAGGCCTAAGCTTCTACTTTTTACATGACTTTGTAGAGTTGTGCCGCCGATATTTGTTTAGGAGATATGAGCACAAATCGAACAACAGTTGCAACGAAGTGCGGCAACGCGAATATATTGAAGCAAAGAAACGACGTCGCACCGTCTCTCCTTCTCAGGTGACAAAATTCAAACACTTCGAATTCACTCAGAACTTTGGGTATGGAGGTTTTCCGACATGATCATTACAGATGTAGCACACAGTCTTCAAAATAAGGTCCCTTTGTTAGCTAACGGTTGAACGAACACTCTTTTTCGCCGCGCGCGATTTCGCGGTCCGAAACGTGTTAAGACGATTTTTTGAGAAATTAGACCGCAAAGTGCTTCCATAATCATGTAAACGCATCAGTGATTCATCTAGAATTCATGCTTGGGGAGCACTGCAGAAAGAAAACAAATGATAACGTTGAAAATAGTGAGATATAAAGTGCAGCGACTCACCAGTACGCAGAAACGGCTGCAACAACTTTCAAATAACGTTCATATCTAGTTAGTTCACGCTCCTCTGACATCTCCTAAAACAAAATGCCACTGTAAATACGAAGCTTTAAGCCTATTCAAGGATTTCAAGACTGGACGAACTTCACAGCTGTATGTATCATGATCGCACTTACAGGTGACAGCGCAGATAAAAAAGTTTCAGGAGTGATTATGTCAGAAAATATGATTCACAGATAGCAAGTAAATGGTCTTCAACACCTTGCCTTCTATTGTGCAGAAACGGATGTTTTTTAAGATTTTGTCGCTATCAAACTATATGAACTCCCTGAGGTGTAAATGCTAACAACAATGAGTGAATTTGAGCACAAGCGAGAAATTGCTTTAGCCACGCTGGCGTCGATGGTGCGACAAGCGGCGATAGGGCGTACATCGCCAATCTCGACTCGGAATCAGCTGTGAGACCAATCCAAGAAAACTAGACATCGACCAGGGATTCAATTTCAAACTTCTCGTACCTCTGAAGTTGGTGTCGGCGATATCAGTATTGGTTGCGAGACAGAAGAAGCCGAGTCCTTTATAGGCCCCGACATTTCTCTGAAGTAGTGGGTGCATAAAATAGTATCTAGCTGTGTCCCATGTGGCAACGAAAATATTGTTCACGAGAATTTCATATGAGTTGGCATTGATTGCCTGGGAGAAGCCTACGTTGATGTGAAGGCCTATTAATGTGCACTGCGATGTCACACCGAGACAAACATGGGCGATGAGTTGCAAAACTGCAGGACTATACAAGGCATGCATAAACAACGAACTCACCAGCGAGTGCGGGACGAGCGTGGCAGCAGTAGAATCGGCGAAACGCCCTCCAAAAAACTGCGGCCATCTGAAATGTGACGTGGCTACGACGAAGTGGTCGTTCTCTCGTGGCTCTTGGGTGCACTGCGTGGAATGCATACCTCATAACCAAGGTCAAACATGGGTACTGGGAGTGGTCGTAGTCTGGAGTGGCTGTGAGGGGGGGGGGGGAGGAGGGTCTTGAGGAAAAGCGTCACTTCCTGTCTTCAACTCAAAAGGGTCGAAGGGCCGGACTTTTTTATCACAAGGAGTACCGATTTGTGCCACACAGGGGCAAAACACAAGGTGAGGCGCGAGAACAATCAATCTTTAAAAGAAGCAGGCCTTGGCTGCAGTAGAGATTATGCAGCAAACATTAATTCTGTGCGCCTTTTGTAGCTGAACGAAGCCCTTCAACTTCAGGCAAACAATCAAAATTGGATTTTGGTTCCACAAATATGAACTTAAAGTTGCCAAACTTTGAAGATTCAAATTTCGAAAATTCAAGAATTCAAATTTTCAAATTTGAATTTAGATTTCAAGAATTCAAATTTTCAAATTTGAATTCGAACTCGGCATCTACTCGCGATGCATGGAGACTGACTCTTGATGGAGGAACTCCACTTGTATTAATGAGACGACTCTATTGCGAAGCAGCTATAACCCCTTATGCGTGCGGCCCCTCATGTCCCCCTGTCGAGACGCAGAGTAATTAGATGGTCCGACAGTCTCCACGCCAACTGGGCGGTGCCCGGAATCTCCAGATGAGCTGGCACTCCCCGGGTGCTCGGTGGTCCCCTCCCCAATTATGTTCCCCCACATTTATATTTATGTTATAATGATAAAAGAATCTAGTCAGAACTGTTATGTTAGTGCAAAGGAAAGAAACTAAGGGTTGAGGGATCAAGTTACGAGAGTAATTAACTCGTATACTTGACATGGAGGTCCCGGGTTTTTCTGAACGAATCTGTCGCATAACCTTTCTTTAAAAAAAAAGTATAAGCATTGATTTTGCGCAGATCTTTGCTAATCCCACCACCGGCACCAGTCCTCATCTCCTACGTGAATTACGTAGCCCTTTTTCATATTTACCCTTTCCTTTCTCTTTTCCCTTGAGTCCAGGCGATGGGTCTGAGTGTGTTTTTTTTCTTATTTTGTCATATTTTTCGTGTCATAGTGGGTAATGAATATAATCATGTATTCTTTACCTACTATGTGTTTGACAGTCTTTTTTTTGTTTCATAGCAGATAATGAATATATTACTATATTGAATATGGTAGATGGTATTTTTTATCTGCTGTGATTCCTTACAGTTTTTACCGTGATACCACGTGAAGAACCGTAAATATTTACTCTTTCTTCCTCTAGCCCCCTTTCCCCACCCTATTTATTTGGAAACAAATCTAAAACTTTTCATTTTTCCAAAACATATTTTATTTTGTAACTTTCACATTTTCTCTTTCATAATCTATTATCTTTCCAAAACATGTAAAATTCATTTTCACAACCATTTTTCACCATATTTCGCCTACAACTTTACGCATTATTTTCAGTCATTTATTTTCTTCTTTCTCACTTTCCATCGTTATTTTTTTTTTACACAAACTCAGGGACTCTATCGCCAACGCCGGCACTGTACATATGTATAAAATTTTTATAATTGTGTTTGATTGCCATAGCCGTTTTGTAATTGCCGCAGTTCCACAGGCGATCTAGACGCCTGTGGATAGTCCGTAGGCTATGTTGCCTATGGTGATTCCATAGGCTATGTGATAGCCCATGGGGTTACCAGAGGCCCTTTTCCCAGTCACGCCGATTCAAAGCGTCATTATCTAATCTTGAGTGGCATATAGGCGCCAGAATTTGACCTTACCGTAGCGGCTTACTCTTTGACAGTACTCCGTTACGCGCCTAAGTTAGCTCCGCCCACTTCTACGTAAGGAGCTCATCAAGTTGGGAGTTATTCGATTCTCAAGAGGGAACGAAGAGCAGTCAGTGGTATTTACTATCAGTCGATATCCAACGATCCAGCTCGCTATTCACTAACCATCCGATAGCCCACTTCTTTGAAAGGATCTAGTATAGCAGCCAAGACGGCTGACTATAAAGCTGGATACGACTATCAAAAGAAGGTATATTGTAAAGACCTTTCCATTGGTGATTTCGTTTTACTCCATGACGCAGTGCGTCCAAAATTAACCAACCAATGGAAAGGTCCATTTGTGATTGTCTCCATGTGTCGCCCAAATGTTACCATAAAGAGTCTGTTCAACAATACCCTTCAAACGGTTCACGTGAACAGGCTCAAATTGTATTTTAGCCGGCCGCAAGAGCGGGAGATCTCTGTACAATCCCCACAAACTAGTCACAATCAGGCAGAGATCCAACGTTCTTGCGACCCTAATACCAGATGTTCAGAGCGTCTGAGACAAAGGACCGATTGGTCTCCCTCATAATGAGTGAGAGGTGCCAGTAGCAACCTCACAAAAAAAAATCTCATTTACGCAGCGGCTACTGGTACGAAGTAAGTTTGCCGCAAGCATACGCACTATAAAAAGAAAGAATTCTTCGAATGGCGGGTCGAAGAACGCTTTCAAACATTCACTTTTCTTCACGCCCTTGTGAGCAACGCTAGGAAATTGTTTCCTCTCGAGTTGTAAACTCGAAAACCAAATGTTGTGAAATTTCAATGCATATATGTCAATATTTGTGAGTAGCGAAAACATAGAATGACACATTCTATCTTTTCGCTCAGTATTTCATGTTTTACTTCTGAATTTTTACTTGTTGTAATGTTTATACCATTTTTTTGCGTGTCATTTCATCCCTCCTCCGTATCATCACGAAAATGATCCTCTTATTCAAATCCGTATTGAATAACTATCCTATTCTGCAACATAATTCATATGTCTTCCGCCCGAGGACGAGCTTTACTTTATTGACGGGACGTATGGGAGCGTGCGCTTCGCCTTCTGGCGTTTCGCCCTTCTGTTTACCTTGTCTCTTACCGGCTCCTCCTCTATGCAACGTGAAGACGCAATCCAGCAGATCCAGCAGATCCAACCCAGCCACCAGCAGATGCAACCCAGCCAATGGAGTTCAATCCCCCGCGACGAAAGCAACAACGAAAAGATGAATGGTTTTCGAAGATGAATGCCAATCGCAGATGATCAATGCACGAGCAAGCATGGCCTCAACTGTCCAGCAATCAATCGATATAGATGACGATGATATGGTAAAAACTCGATCAATGATGAGACGACGTATGATAAAACTCGATCAATGGCAATGACGATGATAGCGCGATCGATGATGACAATGATGACAGCATGGTTGATGATGGTCAAATGGTCAATGGGTCTCCGAAATGATCAAATGCAATGATGAATTCCTTTCCGAAACCATGGTCAAAGATGAAAGCTCGAGGACGAGCTTTGCTAAGGAATGGACATGTCGAGACGCAGAGTAATTAGATGGTCCGACAGTCTCCACGCCAACTGGGCGGTGCCCGGAATCTCCAGATGAGCTGGCACTCCCCGGGTGCTCGGTGGTCCCCTCCCCAATTATGTTCCCCCACATTTATATTTATGTTATAATGATAAAAGAATCTAGTCAGAACTGTTATGTTAGTGCAAAGGAAAGAAACTAAGGGTTGAGGGATCAAGTTACGAGAGTAATTAACTCGTATACTTGACACCCCGCCGCCGGCCGTCAAATGGCGCGCGCGACGCGAGTGAATGGTTCGCGCGCAGTGAGTAGATGGGACGGCGCCACACGATAATGGCACGCCGCTCGCACGGTATGAAAATTGCCATTCGCATTTGGAGCACTGCGAATCACGGTGAATCTGTAGTAGACCTGATGACAACCTTCAATTTCAGGCAAACAATGGCTTTGATCTCAGATATGAACTTGAAGTTTCCAAACCTTGAGTTTGGAAATGCAAATTTCAAAAATTCAAGAAATTCAAGCTCACCTACTCGCAGTGCTTATGAAGACTGACTCTCAGTGGAAGAACTAGAAGAATCCCACTTGTGTTAATGAGACAACTCCATTGCGAAAGATAACCTCAACGAATTAGCGATGAAGCACCCAAAACGCTGCGTCGTACTTCACGCGGGTATCGCTTGTGCTTACAGCGTGTGAGAATGCTGAAGGCATCATGGCACGCCGCTCACTGATAAACTGCGCGCCGCTCGCAGTCCCAACTAGGGCGGCCGCTTGCGCTGCAGTGCCGCGCCGGCCGTAGTAAGGCGCTATACTTTGGAATATTCGAGATTTTTTTCGAATAATCGAATAACCGAATATATTCGAAAATCAAAAATATCGAATAATCGAATTTCGAATACTTTCAAGAACAAAAAAATGTCGAATATTCGAATATCGAATATTTTCGAAAAAAATGTCGAATAATCGAATATCGAATATATTCGAAATGAAAAAAATCGAATAGTCGAATATATTTGAGAAAAAATCGAATAAACGAATATTTTGCATCGATTATGTCGAATGTTCAAACAAATCTTAAACGAATTAGCACAATGAAGGACTCCAAGCAGTGGGCAACTTGGACGACAAACGATGGTTCCTGATATAACAGTCAAAATTGTGACGCTGTCATGTAGTTATTCGATTACACGAAAATGTCGAATAATCGAATAACTTCTGAAAATAAATATTCGAATGTTCGAATGTTTTCGAAAGTCAAAATTTTCGAATAACCGAATAATCGAATAAATTCGAAATTGACAAATTTCGAATGAGCGAATATCGAATATATTCGCGGTTTTGAAATTTCCGAATAATCAAATTTCGAATAAAATTTATTCGAATACTTATTCGAATACTCGAATATTTATTCGATTCGGTCCAAAGTATATAAGGCGCGCCGCTCGTCAGCTGCGAATGATGGCGCGCCGCTCGCACTGCAGCCTCAACTATGTTGTTTTGTATGTTTTGTAGACTACAGCAAAGCCTTTGACTCCATCTCTATACCGCTGCTTCTTGTTAAGCTCCGAGCCTATGGCACCCAAGGCTCGTTGTTGAAATTTTTGAACTCCTTTCTCAATGGTAGACAACAATCAGTTACCATTAACACCGTCAATTCACGTGTTTACAATACCACGAGCGGTGTACCTCAAG